ATTTTTGTTATTTATCTCGTCATCTTAATTTATTCTTTTCACATATTAAGAAATATAAAATTTTGTATTTAAGATGAAATAATATTAAATATTATTTTACATCAATAAAAGTATATTACATTTCTTAATATATAAAGATAAAAAGGTAAGATAACAAATAATTACATAATTTAAATAAGAAAAAAAAACAAAGGAGAGTGACCCACTTGAAAAGTTATATAAAATGTGAGTATCAAATAAATATAAAAACTTAATTAAAATATAAAATTTTACGAGAGATTTAAAACTTAACTAAGCTATAATTACATTAAAAATTAAATTAATGATGATTTATGATGTGAACTTTTACATCGTTGTCTATTCAAAGTCATTCATACCGATTCATCGTCATTAATAATAAATTTAATATAATTTAAAAAGAACCTATGAACATAATTTGCTATTCTAGGCGATCGAACTCGGGACACCTCTCGATTAAGAGTGAAGGAGTAGTCATTTCGAAGCACTGAGATTCGTCCAAAAAAGTTAATCACTTCCCACAAATATTTTTGCATAAACACAAATTTATAATCGTGTTTCAGACAACATACTAAAAGACAAAAATTCAATGTAAATTATGTTACACTAAATGAACAGATTCCTACAAAGGGTACAACAAGAATGTAAAAGATTGCGTGCATGATATAAAGAGAGATTAATTTTATTAGGGTTAAATATGTTTTTAGTCCCTAAATTATTGACCGTTTCTGGTTTTCGTCTCTCTTCCAAACTAAGGTATGATTTGGTCCTCAATCTTTAAAAAACGTTCATTTTAGTCGAAAAAACGAACGTTTTGAGGACTAAAACGAGGACTAAAAACAAAATTTTGAGGACTAAAACGAACGTTTTTCTAAAGAATGAGGATCAAATCGTACCTTACTTTGGAAGAGTGACGAAAACCAGAAACGGCCAATAGTTTAGGAACTAAAAACATATTTAACCCATTTTATTATAATAATTTAACCTGGAAATAGTTAATTTATAGATTAATATAATTAATTATTTAGAGAAATTTATCGGAGTTAAATATTTTTATAATAGATTTGGTGAAGGTACGTGAGAGAGAGAGAGAGAAAAGGACGTGGAGCCGCATGCATCGCTATCAATGTTCCTTTGGGATCTTAATTGTCTGCCTGCAACTAATTTAGTTTACCAATATTATGCAATTAAAGGAACTGTTTCTTTCTTATTTCTATTCAATTCATTGCATCCCAAGGCTCCACTTTATCAAAGAATTTTTGGGTCCCCGAGTTTCAACTATGCATGCATCCATCACCATTCATTTCGATTGAATTCTATCGATGCATCTTCTCCCTCACTAACATACCATCTTTTATTTTTCATTAACACAAATTATCATATAAAATTAACACACTCTACTCCAATTATTATCATATACATATATATACAAGTGTAAAAAATAATATAACAAATAATAAACTTTGTTAAAATAAGGCGTAAAACTTCCAATACACTTCCTTACGTAAAATATATACATTTCGAGTGTGAATATATGTTAAGAAATGAATTTTAAATTTAATTCAACTTACAAAACTAGCTTGTAAGACGAGATTTACACTCACTTATATACTATAAATTGATCTTATCTTTAAGTGGTGAGACTTTTAACAAGATCAAACTCTATTTCGCATATACGAACGAAGTTTATATGTATTTATATACTATAAAATTGTTTTATCTCTAATTGAAGTGAAGTTTACACCCACTTATATACTATAAATTGATCTTATCTTTAAGTGGTGGGACTTTCAACGAGATCAAACTCTGTTTCGCATATACGAACGAAGTTTATATGTATTTATATACGAATGAGAAAGATAAGAGAAGAGAATAGAATGGGAGAAAAGAAAGATTCGAAAGAGTGGGGTATTGGAAGAAGATAGAAAAGATAGGGGAATAGGTAGCTAGGGTTGAGGAAGGGAAGAAGTAATGGGGTAGTGTCTTTTATAGGTAATTGGGAAGACAAGAGGGTGTTGATGTTAGGGTATGGCCATAGGATGTCTATAGTAAATTGGGGTAACCATAAAGGCTATGGAGCCAAGGCATGTGAAGGAGGGAAGCACAAATAGTTGTACTATTACTATTACACTATCACAACAACAAGAAAAGGGTCCACAAAGGCATCAATTGCCACCCCTTTAGGAAATAACACCATATCACACTCTCACTTCTGCTTCACCCCGAATGAATATCATGATAGGATTCTACCTTTCCTTTACAAGGACACCATTTTTTCTTTTCTTTTTTTCTTTCATTTCAACACCTTAATTATTCCATTTTACACTCTAATCTTCTTTTAAATATTTCTTTATCTATCTTTTAAAATCACACCATGATATGAGAAACAATCTAAATTTTATTTCAAGTTACACCGTAACAAATTTTAATAGTTTTTGTCTCGAAAACCTCACATGCAAGCTTCCAAATAAGGTCACTGTGAACAGACCCTCTTCTTTAATTTCACATCCAAGCTTTTTTTATGTTTTGAATTTTAGAAAGATTTTATTTATTTGTTTGTTTAAATATTATTTTAATTTTTGTACAAATATTAATTACCTTGTCATTTATAAATTTTCCTTCTGCACTATTTTTTCTTTTAACCTCTTTCGTTTACATCACAATAAATAAATCCATGTAAACTAATTTTCCAATTTATAATATATTTCCTATAAATAAGGAAAAATATTTAATTCTTATATTTCCAATGCAAAAATTAAGTAGCTTATTTATTATATTCTTTTTTAGCTTTTCTCCATTTAAGGCTCAAGTAGTTTTTTATTTATAATAAGAATGGAAATAAAGGTATTTAAGAATAAAACAAATTAAGTTATCTTAAAGTTAAAAAGTAACTACTGGCAAAACGAAACCATCTTTTATGAAAAACGACAACTTTACAAGAACAAAATGCGTAATTAAAGATTATAAACGTCAGGATTATAAAATGATTAAAAAAATAATTAATATTGTCTTAAATTTTGAAAATAAAAATTAATTTATTTTTTTTAAAATTGTTGTAACACTTGAAATAATTTATTTTGTTCCTAAAACGGGTATAGAATGAGTTTCGCGGAAAACATTAGAATAAGAAACAAATATTCTACTCTCTCTATTTCAATGGTTGTTTTAGAATCCTAGATAAAACATTAAAAAATTTCTAAATTATACCCTTAATATATTAATTTTTTTATTAGCAAATGAAAAAAAAATGAACATAAATTGATTTATACATTTTTCTGGATTTCAACGGATAGATTAATTTAGAAGTAAGATAGATGATAAATTTCTCAACTTTGCATTGATTTATCCACCTTAATGACGGATTTCATTTTCTATACTACTATACAAACATTGATTTCTATATATGCTATATCTAACTATAGACCCTACACATTTATACATTCTTTGATTTAGACTTGTTCCTTGTGGTGATTAATCAAATCTTACGTTTCTATGTATCTTTGATTTAGGAAAATAGCCTTTTCGTTTTAGTTTTAGAAATTTTAAATTGAAGAATTAATACTCAAATTTTGGAAATATATAAATTTAGTCATTTTCTCTCCTATAGTAACTATGTCCAATTCAAAAGTATAAAATATAACTAATTTAATATATTTTCACAAGTTAAAGAACTAATTTATTAATTTAAAATACAAATTAAAATCAAGTTTAACAAAAAGTATAAATTCTATTTTTTTCCTTCTATATATAATCTCCATAACAGTGTTTAACTACAATTCCTTCTCGTCTTGTTGATTTATTTTTATTTTATCTCGATCATGTTTATCCACACATACTTAAATAAATAAATAAAATATATATATTACCTGTTTATGAATAGCTTAAACTGTGGTCCCCACGATGTTTAACCAGAAGTGCTTATGTGTCTATAAATATGTTGTATGGATTTAGATTTGGTCCTTATGGTGTTTAATCATATAAAGTATAATTACGATAGCTGAACCACATTAATTGAAACCAAAGATTAGAAGGAGAATCACACGTGTTAAGATTATAAAGAGCTTATTAAAGGTTATAAATAGAAAAGTTGAATCCCATTAAAAATTTAAATAAGAGTGTCTTTCAAAGAGTTCATTTCATTTATATTTTTTTTATGACTTATAAATTTCTTTTGATTAAAATAAATATATCTGATAAACAAACCTATCTCGTTATCCGATAGCATTTTTCCTAAATGTGATTTGAGATATAAATCATAGTTTTAGAAGAAAAAATAAATTACTGCGACTAGTGAAAAAGGTGAATTGGTGAAATATATGATGTAACATGTAGAAGAATATGTTTCACTTTATTAGTGCGAATAGTGAGATTCTGGAAAAGCTAAAGTCGAAAAAAACAAAAGTTTAATTAAAATATAAATATTGGTATTAAAATTAGTTTTAATAGAAAAAGGAAAAAAATTAAAATTTCCTTTTATAATACGATAGTTAAACCTAGTAAAAAGGGTTATTAAGAAGGAGTTGAAGAGGGAGGCCCTGGGAGTGGTTGGGAGAACTGACAAAGAAACAATGTCACGTGCTTTGGTGGGGTCACCAACCTTAAACACGACTTGTTTACGTGCACATGGACTTCGCTTAGAGTTGACCGTTTCTTCTAAAACTCAAACATCCGGTCCCACCTGTTTCCACCTTATTTTATTTTCCCTCCATAATTAAGTGTTCCATATTTTACGTCATTAATTACGTCCGACGACGCTGTTAATTCTGATGACGTGGCAGCTACTCAAGAATGAAAGAAATGGAACATCAAATCAGAATCACACGCTTTCCTTTCCTCATACACTCTCGCATTGATACGTGGAACAATCGAAGCCGCTCTTCGAGCAACACGTGTCGTCGTTTGGATGGTCCAACAACCTCGCTGGTCACACGCACCATAATATAAGGTCGCACACGTTGCCGAAGAATCAACAACTAGGCCTAACAAAGTCTCAAATATCAAACACTTTGGTCTCTCTCTTCCAAATCATTGAGACAAAACGAAAGAGTTGGTCATAGCAGCGAACAGGGAAAACCGGAAAAGCCGCTCAGGACTAAGGAACCCGAGTTTGAACGTTGAAATTGCGTCGCGCGTGTGAGTGTTTTCGAGAGCAATGTGGTCACAATCACAAAGCAGCATCCACTCGTCGGAATCGGACGCCGTTGATTGTAACTTGAAGGAGACGGAGCTCACGCTGGGACTTCCCGGTACCAAACGTTCCTTCTCCGACACCGTTGATCTTCATCTTGCCACTTCGCTAAATAAATCCAAACTCCCAACACCAAAGTAAGAACAAGCTTCCATATATAGTACAATTTTCTTTCCTTTATCTTAAAAACCACTGTAATAAGAAAAACACGAACTTCGTAACCAAACAATTCATTCGTCACTGATTTTTCTGTGGTTCTAGAATTAGTAACGAAAACTATTTTTTTGACTGAATGGAAGAATTTTTGTGGGTGAACAAAGAAGTAAAGATGAATTTTTGGTGGGTGGTTGCAGGGAACAAGTGGTGGGGTGGCCGCCGGTGAGGGCAAGCAGGAAGAATGCCATGAAGAGTTGCAAGTTCGTGAAGGTGGCTGTGGACGGAGCTCCTTATCTACGAAAAGTGGATCTTGAATTGTACGACAGTTACGAACATTTGATGACAGAATTAGAGACCATGTTTTGTGGCTTAGACATTCGTACGTATTAATCTGCATAAGTTGGTATACATGGTTTCATTTGTTTTAATTAGGTTGAGGGTAATTAGGTCTTTTTGTGGCCAACCATTGTTGCAGGCAATCATTTGATGAATGAGAGGAAACTGATGGAGTCTGGAAATGGGATTGAATACATGCCCACCTACGAGGACAAAGATGGTGATTGGATGTTGGTCGGGGATGTACCATGGAAGTATGTTCTACTCATCATCGTTCACACTCTTTCAAACCTTCATTTTAGTATTCACCACTATACATATGCATGTACATGTATGTTTCATTTTCTTAAATTAAATTCTGGTTCTTTTTGTAGGATGTTTGTTGAATCATGCAAGAGGATAAGGCTTATGATTAGCTCAGAGGCTATTGGCCTAGGTTCGTTGTTTTCTATAATATATCTATTGTGCAGTAAAAGCATACGATGATTCTGGTTTTCTGATGTACTTATAATAATGGTGCAGGTCCGAGATCTAGTTCAAAATGTTCGGGTTCCACCTAGAAGAATATATATTAGTGTAATAATAACGATAATTAAGCACTTGGAAAGTATGATGAAATATGTATCCATGGTGCTTTTGTATATGTCTCCTTTAATTTAGCATCTCTTAGTTTAAAAAAACGTAGAACTGATCTATATATTAGTGAGAAAATAAATAAGGGAGGTTGGCATGTAATCAAGATTATGATCATGGATCGTTATAAGAGTAAGCTTGTGTAATGTATTGTAATGGCTTTGGCTTTGTAACTCATCATGTATCCCGATTTTGCAGTTTAGATCCATTATTCAATTATCATTTAGTTTCCACTCCATAATTTACATTATATTAATTTCTCTACTCACTCCTCAAGTTTAATGCACTTAACTTAAGTTTATTCTTGAATATTATATACTGCAATTTAAACCTTATAAGATGTTTGATTCTATTTCGAAACCTTAAGATGTAAGATAAAACTTGCCAGAAGAATTGTTTTCAAAAGAAGTTTTGAACGAATGAAACACACACACGCAAATCTCTAATAAGAAAGTTAAGATAAAAGGTTAACTAGTGAAAAATATCAATGGCACTTTTTTAATTTTTGTTTCCAAATATTAGTTAAATCCAAATAATTTTAGAATTTTCAAATTAACAGAAAATTATTTGTTAAAGAGTAATGACTAGTATCTTTTCTCTTAACGAAAAGATAGAAAAATGAAGAAAAAATTCAAAATTTCAAAATTTACTAAAGAAAGAATTCTTAACTGTTTTCTAAATTTGTTGAAGAAAAAAATCATTCATCAGTCTTCAAAATTTATTAAAAATTTTTTTTTTACAAATTTCGAAATCTGTTGAAATTTTTTTTTGAAAAATCATTTAAAAAATTTTAAAATTCGTTTGAAAGAAATTTTTTTAACGAATTTTGAAATCAATTGAAGCTTTAGAAAACCTTTCAATGAATTTCAATGAATTTTAAAATCAAAAATCTTTTTTAATAGATTTCTTAAGAATAAAAAAATAGGATGTAAGTTTTTTTTAATTGTAGGAAATACTTTTGGAATTTTAAAAGAATTTAGACATGCAAAGAAAAATAGTTGGAGGTCTAGGAAGATACAACCCAAACCCTAACTTATTTCGACTTCACCTAATGATGTAACCCAAAATTTTATTAGCCCAAAGTGGGATGAGCCAATTTACGTGCCAGATAATTTTATTGATAAAACAATAGGCAATAAATTGGCTTGATTCTTCCCATAATTTCATCCTTCATCTCATATATTTGAAAATTTTAATTTTATGTTCTATTTTAGATTTTTCATTCAGAATTTTCGAATGTACATTGTGGAGACCCTTTCGAAATTCATAATTTGGAATACAAATTTTGTATTTCTGATTCTACATTTCAAAATATAAAATAAAAATACATTCTGAATTATATAAAGTTTGCATTCTAGATTATGAAATCCAAAATGCATTTTTTAATTAGAAGAAGATGAAAAGTGAGGAAGAGGAGTACATCAATGGAGGAAGAAGGGTGTGCTGTGGAGTAAGAAGAAAATGAGAGAGAAGTGGGTCGGTGGAGAAGGAGGAAGATGGAGAAAAGAAGATAAAGGCAAATGGTCATTTCACATTTCTACGTAGGTGTGTTGAAATGTATGGAGGTGCAGGAAGAAATTACCATAAATTCACGTTGACGAATAAGGGGTCTCATAAATTTAACATAGATTTAAGAATAGAGTATAACTTAATCCAAGTTTTTTCTTTTTACTCTCAAAAAGTAGAAAAATAATAATTAACTTCTATAAAAGTTCGTTTTGGTTTTTTCTTCAATAAAAATATATTTCTATAATTCAAAACTTCTTCCAAATTAGTTTTACCTAATTGTTTTCTAAATTTTAAAAAAAACAAACAAGGGAAGCAAATATCCGTGATGCTTATTCCAAAAAATGAAGTGCCAAGAAGAAAAATCATGTTAATTAAGGTCTGTTTAGCTAAACTCAAAAAATCACTTCTAAGATAGAAAAACAGGAAAGAAAAAAAATGAATTTTTTCATAAGGTAAAATTAATTTATGTGTATATTAATTTATTGATAGTCTATCTTACCAACTTACCAAAAAAATATTTTCAAATGTACATAAATTAATTTTAACTTATAAAAAATGTTGATATTTTCTATCTCAAGAACAAATTTACGGCCAATGAAAGGGAGAATGAATGCCCTTTCTTTTAATCCAAGATGGTTCCATATAGAAGCCATAAACTAAACTATTGAAGCACAAGTTCATCATTGTCTTACATTCAGTTGATGTGCATTCTAACAGTTAAAGTTTAAGATGGATCTGTTTTGACAGAATATGCTTAAGCTGGAATTGACTTCATCAGATTTGGTTGCAGGCACTTGCGCAATGAATGGGTTTGAAGGGTGGTTACTGGTTGGGAAGCAGCAAGAGGGTTGACAATAAATTGGAGCACGGATAAGGTATGCTTCCACCTCTGTGATTATGATATAATTGTGTGATAATTATTTTTTTTATTAATCATGTCATAATTGGTATAGATCTTGATAGTTTGAGGGATTAGCATGTAGCTCTCAGCAAAACAAACTCTTAAGTATCTTAAATTATAGAATATTGTTAAGAATCTAAGCGTGAATCCAAATTTCATACTCAGTAGAAATGAGAAAGTTGAACAACATATGTAAATGAAGACCAATTAATCCATTGTCTTAAGGTTTTGGATAAAGAGTTATGTTAATTCCTTATGTGATTAGACTCAGATTTCATTAGTGTTATATCTTTCCATTGAACTTTCTCCTTTATAAACCCAATAATAACGACATCTTCCCACCATCTAAAACAGATTAGTACCCTTATAAGTAACCTATGAGTGATTGATATTTTCAGTGTGTTTGTTGGAATGTGATCTTCCCCACCTTTTTATAGTTGGTTTCATCACTTTTCCAGCCAGTGAAGCCAACCAATTCCTTTCTACTAACTACCATAATAAATGAGTGGAAAGAAAGGAAAAGGGAGAGGCTTTTTGTATTGGATGGCTGGCTATAGAGGCCATAAGCATGTTCAAGAAACTTTCTGTGCTTGAGCTTTAGATAAACTACATGATCTACCACTGTTGGAAGAAACATCATCAACTCAACTAAACTCAAATCCAAAAATATGACGCAGTCTGCACCAGCACAGCAGAAGATATACTATGATCACGCTCAGACGGGTCGTGAGGAGAAGGAAAGCTTCTATGCTTTGTGGGTACCTCTTTAGTTTTCAATTCTCTTCTATTCTTCCACAATTCTCTGTTTTTTTTATCCCTGATCAGTTCATTCTCTGATCCAGTTTGTACACACTCTGTTGCTGCTTTTGCTGTTATGAGAGTTGTAGGTGCTGCTCAGAACGCACCTGCTGTTGCTGTCCCTAGATGGTCTAATTTCCAAGAGACGATTGTCAAGTTTATGTTTCATCCTTACTTTGTTGTATGAAATGATGATTCTGGAAGCCAATAAGGAGTGATCTTCTGTATAATTGTGCTCTTCAATTGTTTTTTGTTTTTATGATATCTCCTTCAAGAATAAAATGATTCGTTATGACTGTTACATAAATCATGTGCAGCAGCGCATAGTGTACTATTGAAGTCACTGGTGTGATCACAACCATGATTTTCTGAGCAAAAATAAAAATGTATGTAACTCTATCTGATCAAATGACAGCAACCAGAAAGCATTAGCCGTTGTGTATTACTGAAAATATTCTCTATACATTTCAAGGGAAAGAGTGCAGATTCATTAACTTAGATACACTAATGGAGTAACTAATTAATGCTGAATAGACATAGAAATTCCCAAAGAATTGAAAAACCAGCAGAGCTCTATCATATAGTTACTTTAGGAAGCGAGGATGGGGTTTCTCCCTTCATCTATTTCAATGGTTAGGAGACGTTGAGGATCTGATCCATTTGGTCCCTCCGAGTAAAGTGTAGGAAGGTATGCATAGTATGCTGGCAGATAGCGTGAAACAAAATCTCTCACCTAGAGAGAACATACCATGAAAATTCCTAGCTTTAGTGATTACGAAATTGATGTTGCATCATCATTTAACACAGAAATATCATTCATCATACTTAAAAAACATAAATCAATTTGAGCAACAACAGACCTCCTCATCTGTCATTCCAGGGTTGCCGGCCTCCCTCATGGCAATCTCAGCCTGCATATTAAACAGCTTAATACATGGATGCTACATCCAGATTCTGATCTTAAAGTTTGTAATTTGTTTAATGTTAAAGCAACCTACCTGCAAACGCCATTGGAACACACAATTTGGGTCCTTAATCTTGATGACTATCCATGACTTAATGTATTTGTCCCATGCATCATAGTAAGCTTCAAGGTTTTTATTTACAATTTCTAACTGAAAAATAAGCTCAACTTATTAGCAATGCTTCCCATTAAAAGAAAGGAACTTCACTGATTCTAACCTGATTCTAACCCATTATCATAAACTCCATGCTCATTATCTTAAAAATGTAAAAAAGGAACTTCACTGATTCTAACCTGGGGATCAACATCCTTTACAGCTTCAACTGGAAGAGGCTTGAAACCAAGCATCCAACCTTCGAACAACACAACCTACAACATTCATCCATGTTCACAGTATAAGGATCAACATTTTTGAAAAGATAGTAACATGAGATGAACATGGCACAAATAGTACCACATTTCCAAGTATCATGTTATATTATCTTCCTCAGAACTACAGAATCTTAATGTTGAAGAAAATTTCTTTTTACTTGAGGAGAAGGGCAAATTTTGGCAGTAAAAAACTTAACATACTTATTTCAACAAGCTACTTCATTTTTTTTTCTCTTTTACTTGTGCTGGATCATGTTTTACCAAGAAAGAATGACCCATCAGAATCAGTTTAAGTTACCACTGAATATTTTCTTACCTTCAGGGGACCTTCGACTTCTGGCCATGTTGAAGGATCAGCACGGTCACCTCTGCCACTGAATGCAGACTGCATCAACAGGCAATTCACTTCACCATTACTGATTGCAAATTGAAAAAAAATGTGTAAATATTCTGTATATGCAAGCTACGACCCTTACTTTATCATATCTTGGTAGCTTCATTTTCACACCTGGACACTTCAAGTTAAAAGATATTACACGAAAAATACAATATAAAGAGAAAACAAAAGTGAGTGCCGAGAAACACCTTCTCTTGTCATTTTAGTTAAAGCTGTCAGAGTTTCAACAGAAAGAGCAAGATCATGGCTTCCTGCATTTCCGCGATACTAGATGGAAACCAAGCAAGCAAAAATATTTTAGTTCTCAATAATTCATCGTTCACTACTTTACTTATCTTTTCATAATTACCTCAAGAAGTGCATTTCCTGGATTAGCTTCTCTTAGTTTAGTCTACAGTGCAAACACAATTTATCAGCCCAACAAGAACAAGAACAAAATGGGATTTACTACTGAAAAAGAAAACAGAAAAACAGCTTCTATATACCTGACCTTCAGCAGTCAAATAAAAATCATCTATAGATACTGTGGCAGACTTCCTGAAAATTGTAGCATGTATCTACAATTTGTTAATTAATCTCCTTTCCCTATAGTAATCAGAACAAAGGATAAATTCAACAACTCAGTTGCTTCAAAGTTCAGAGCCTACCTGCCAATCACTTCAAAAAGATAGTCAAGAGCAAAGACAAGGGTTGTCTTCCCACAGCCTTGAGGGGCACTGAAACCAATCTGTGTAGACCAGAATCAATAAAGTTATTGTTATATTGAAAGACTAAGGCAGAAAAGCAATATCTTGGAAGGAAAGGAAATAGAAGAGCAATCTTCATAACAACAAACTTACAAATTACAAAGAGGTTATTGCTATTTATAGAGCTGACAAATAACTAGAAACTAAAGCCAACAAAAATTCCCAAAAATTATTAAACTTAACCATAAGCCTCCATAACTAGCTGCATAACACCGATACATATAGAAAACAAAATATGACAGACAGTGACAGAAGGAAACCACGTTTATAGCATACCACCAAAGGAGGAATTTCTTCTCCATCTTTGAATTTGGACTGATGCTCCGCGATCTGTTGTTCACACCAGAGAAAGACTGGTACATAGTAGTGATAAATCCTAGCCTTTTGAGGCTCTGTAAGGTACAATTCATTAAGCTGAAACAATCTGCATAGGTATCGGCCATACAGTAACCAGTTATTAATGGACTCAGCCACCTGCTCTTGTGTGAGGCCTATTTTGTCAAGCAGAGGTCCCGAGCAAATAAACTGATAGAGGTCTTCCACAGAGGAAACTTGAGCAGGTTTTGTTGGAAATACAGAATATAGAGGACGCTTCCAGTACTCAATGCCAGAAGCAAAGGAACTGTTTTGCAACCATGAACTTCCACTGCCTGCAGCAAAAATGTTACAGTTGAAAATCAAAGACTCAAATGACATGGCACAAATAGTTTCCAACAGTAATGCAGCTGTGGAAGATGAAAATACAGCTATCCTAACTTCCATGCTCCTATTTTGACTAAAAGATAAAAAAAAAATGAGAGTTTACTACTGAGTTAGTTGAAGCTTCAACAGCAAGGTCTAATAATCAATCAGCTGAGATGAATTTGAATTGCATAAATAATCAATCAGGCTCAAGATTTGTCCCAAAATTTTCAATTCCAATGCCCTTTAGTAAACATAGTATGGTGTATGATACCATGATACCATGATACCACCCATTCATATAATTTATCTAAATATAAAATTTTGTTTAACTGGGTTGAAAATTTGTATCTGAAGAAAGCAAGTGAGCTATGATAGTTCTATAAAGTGAAGAAAAGTACCTGACTTTGAGGAGTGAGAGGAGAATTGAGAAAGAACAGAGAATTGACGAGAATTGGAAAAGAAATGAAATTTAGAATTGTTGGAAATGATATTATGATTTTGATAAGCATAGGAAATGTTGTTGTTTGAATTAGAACAACAGAAGAAAGAAGGTGAAATTGTGGGTTGCCATGGCTGAGAGAACAGATTCAGAGTCGCCATTTTTGATGTGTCTTTCTCTCTCTACTTTGCAACTAAGAACACCAACGGGGCTTAGACGCCACGTAATCTTCACCTCTTTGGCCTACAGATTGGAAGAGGAGCACCATAAAATAATTCTATGAACAAAAAATCTGCAATTTTATCTATTCAGATTTACGAACAAGTCCTCTTTCTTTAAATTCAAATATATATATATATATATATATATATATATATATATATATATATTTATCTATTTATATTTTTTCATACATTTATGCAACAGTGCATCCTTTTCAATATCTTTTGAATATTTATGTTAAACTAAAGTAATACATGGAAGTCTATACTATTTATACTAAAAAGTTATTTTACCATAATTCTATTAATATCCGACCAGATTTTTTTAATCTTTCGAATACAGTTTTAAGTATACGTGTAATTAGTATTTATAAATATTTATTTCATGTATGAAATACTTGGTAATTATTAATAATTTCTGAAACCACTAAGTTCTAACAGGTTACTTTCCAACTAACTACTGTTGGATCATTTAAACAGATTAAACCTTATTACCGTAAATATTAAGTTCTTTACCGAATAACTAAATAAGATTAAATGTAATAAATTAAATTTTATGTATTTTTTTATGTTAATACATATGATTTTTTTATTTATTTGATTTTTATTCTTAATATTTATTATTTAATTTGTGATCTTAAAGTATTAAAAAATGTTTCTTAACATATAATTGAACTTCAATATATAATAAAACTTGTATGTATAATAGAAAATAGTTCATTAATAATTTTAAGACTTTTAAATTTAATGCATTATTAATTGTTAATAATCTAAAGCATTAATTATTAATGAGTTATTATAACGAAGAAAGATTGAGAATGTGATTGCTTAGAAGATATCAACCGATACATTCTATACTAAAAAATTTACCCTCTCTTTCTTTTTCTTTCTCTTTAAATATATAACTTTTTTTTTAAAGCCAATTTTACATGAAACATTAACATTGTTTAATACATTTTTCTAATTTTGTAATAGTTTAATTGCATTTTTTAATATGTGATAATTTTAATGAATTAAACACATTTTAATCTGTTTTATATGTTTTATTTTGATATATTAAGTTTTCTTATTTTAATATACAATTTTTTATTTATTTTAATAAAATAATCTTGTCCACATTTTAACTGTGTTTTTTAAGTGCATTATTTTAAAAACGATTATTTCAGTATTAGCAAGAGAGTCAAAATTTACAATTTATTATTTTAGACTAAAATAATTAAATATATTAATTAAAAGTAACTGATATAAGAGTTATAAAAACAATTTAATACCTAGGACAAATAAATTAGCAATTACCGATGGATAAAGTATACACAAAGTTAACTTTTAATCAAATTGTTACTTCGATTTTTTATTAATTTTAAGATACGACTTTATGTATTGATAAATTTAATATTATTTTTAATCAAAACAAAAGTTAAATTGAAATAAGTGCTTTTTTTGTTTTGAATATATTTATTTTCAGGTAAAGAGAATTATCTATGTTAATTTATTTGAACTAATCTCAGATTTAAGAGTAATTTGAATATTGAAAGTAGGTAGTTATATGTTTAGAGAATTGATGATTATTGGTGAATAGTTATAAAATGTTGAACTGATAATTGAGGGAGTTGTCAAAGGTTTGAATTGAGATTTGAAACCAAAGTAAAAGATTTGATAATAAGTTATTTGAATAATAAAATGTATTGAATCGTACATGAATTAGAATTTCTTTTTTAAATAATGTCTTTTATATTATTAGATAAACAAATCTAGTTAGTCAATTTAAATCTGCTTAACAAATTAACTCCCTAGAGTAACCCAATTTTTTTATTATTTCACTTAGTGAATTTAAAAAGTGTAATTATATATGATTAATGTGATGAATATATATAATTTAAATGTCATGCATGTATCAAATGTAATCTCGCAATTTTATATTAACCATTAATTGAATTTGTATATTAAATTATACAAAATATTTATAAAAGTACCATGAATTCATTACTAGTTAAATCATATGAATTAAAACCTAAGTAAAGAGCAATTAGACCAAAATTTATTGCATACAAAAGTTTTGAATATCATCATTAAATATTTGTTAATTAGTAAATATTATTGTGTCCTTAATGAATGACTTAAGACTAATAAATTGATATTTAATGACCATAAATGTATTGTCTTTACATTCAAATACATTAATGAAGTGACAGATAGATAGTTAGTGTTTTGTTTCTTACCAGAGATAAACATAAATACTTAAATGTTATATAAATATTCTAAAATACTTTCATGGTTAATAAAATATGTTAAAAAAATTATATTGAAATGTTTATATAGAGTGTTATAGTTATGTTTGGTGAGAACATTTTATTATTAAAGTGCAACTGAGAATTAATTCAATATAAAATTATATTTTAAATGACTAATTTTACATAAAGTTATAAAATTTAAGAATCAATTTTGAATTTATTTTAAGTAAACTTCAAGAGAACAAAGTAACCATTTGTTTTGAAAAAAAAAATTAAGAAAACGTGACGGCGTCGTTTTAGCAGACCAGTGTTGAGTAATTGTCCGCGTGTGCCTTTCATGGCCCAGACAGTGGGAAAAAGCACGCAATCCAAATCGCCATTGTTTTTTTCTTTTAAGATTCGTGTCTTTCTTTTCTTCTTTTTCTTTTTTTTTCTTTCTGCAAACAAACAAACAAACTCTTCCCTTATCTTTCTTTCCCTCAATTTCTGGGAATTACTGTCCCCTTCTGCATTAAACAGTTTCACACTTCAATCAGAGCACGTTAAAAAAAAAAATCATTTTTTGCATAATTCTGCAACATCCAAACCTATTTTACATACATTTGAAAAATACCCAAAATATGAAAGAGACAATTTTTGCACAGAGGAAAGGAGAATAATTACTTGGGTGGGTGAAATTGTTTGTTCCATTCTTTCTTTCTATTCTAAAAACAGCATCCAATTCGATCTTCCTTGACCAACACCAGCAGCTGTAGCAGTAGCAATTGTAGTGGAAACTGACCCACTCCTTTGCTCAAAATATATTAATTCTGACAGCCCAAAAGTCAAACAAAGAAAACCACCAAACAGTAACTGAACTAGATAGATACGTAAAAAAAAGAGCCTCATGCTTTGTCTCCCTTTTCATCAAGCGTGACAAGCTTCATTTTTCTTTTCTGTAAATCAAAAAAGTTCCCTTTCTTTCTGTTTTCTTTTTTTTTTCTTTAATTATATTTTATATATATTTATACATATATGATGACGTATTTTTGTTTAATAATTCGGAAAGGTATAAGACTAACGTTTGAAAGTTGGTGTCTTCTGGTTGGGTAGGTTCACGGGTAGGCTATTTTTTTTTTTCTGGTGAGGTCAAGATCACAGAATTGGGGAGAGATGAGTTCGCTCTTGAAGCTTTCAAGGAGGGCCTTGGAAACTGAGATGCCCGTTATGGTTCAGGTACTAAGTACTCAGTACTCACTCTCGTGTCATTTCTTTCTTCATTGGAATTTGATCCCTTCCAATGGGTATGTTTGTCTTTTGGAGTGATGATGTTTGGTTTGGTTTGATTTGAGAATAAAATGTTTTTGATAACCAAGGTTGTTGGTGTCTGTGTGTTTGCAGATGCAGGAACTGATCCGAGGATCTAAAAATGCTGTGTCTTTGGCCCAGGTCTTTTTCTTCTCTCCCATTAATGCTTGTTTATAGAAATTAATCTAACCCCTTGGTGATTTTTGCGAGGAACTCGGAGAAGGGGATGGGGGTTTTCAATGTTTGATTATACATTAGTTTAACTTGCTTGGGAGTTTGGTATGATTTGGAGAAAGATTGAGAAGTGAGAACAGTTTTATTTTCTACTATTTACGAATTGGGACTTGTTTTGGTGCGCGTTAGATGGGTTTGTTCCTTTTAGTAAACTGTAAATGATGATTATGGGCACGGCCTTAAAATGTTTGGGGGACTGTTTTATAAATCTGCTTCCTTCTTGATCTACAAAATGGCCGAGCCACAACATTTTTTAGTTGAAACAGGAAACGAGATGAACAGAATTATAGTTTTGGTTTTCTTGCTCTATTTGAATGTGAATTATGACCTCAATATCCAAAGGTGGATTTCAAGCTGAATTTAGGGCCTGATTTATGTGATGTAGCTTACTTTTATAGGATTGTGAGCTAAACTGGAGGCCATGTGGTTTTGATTATGCATCTGATTTTGGTTCAACGCATTTAATAATCAACTGAAGTTTGTCCATCAGCTTTTAAATTATATTGCTCTGACTAGTGACCACTAGAATTCTTTTGATTTTAATGTATTGTTGTTTGCTCCTTAGCTGCAATTTGTAATGGATTTTGTTAAAATTATGTACTGTAGGGAGTGGTTCATTGGCAACCTCCCGAGCAAGCTTTGAAAAAGGTGAAAGAACTTGTATCTGATCCTATAGTCAGTCGATATGGTAATGATGAAGGTATTCCTGAACTCAGAGCAGCTTTGATTAAAAAGGTAAATGGTATAATTTTTTCGTGCAATCTGTATTCTGTACTACTGGGAATTTGGAAAATCAAGTTATTTGTTTGAAGTTCTTCAATTGATCAGAGCTCGAGGCTTGCATCCATGTTGAAACCCATAGAATGTCATTTGTAGCAGTTGAATTGGACAATCCGAAGCATTTTACACAATGGATTGTGATAGTTGTTTTGTTTTGTTTAAGGATGATTAACTTTATTATTTGTACTAAGTAATATGCACTGTTTTCCTTTACCTGTAGTTGAAGTTGATTATATGTAGATCACAGACTACTGTACTGTCCGCACGACAACTTGTGATGTCATTTGGGATAATAGAAATTTTATAGTGTAAATGTTATGGTTGCCTGAAAACTGTATCAACACAGAAAAAATATCTCAAAAAGAAAATGGAATTGCTGTGAAAACCTCCTCCAACCAGTGTTATTTCAAAACTTGAAATGGAATTGTAGTCACTAGGATTACGTACAAGCAACAGAAAACTAAATAAAATAGGAACTTAGTTGCTTTCACTACAAGTCGAGTTGTATCTTACTGTTCTGATAAATTATTTTGCTATATGAAATTTGGATCTTGGTGACCAATGAATTAACTAATTCGTTTTTATCACGTTGATGTAGTTGCGTGATGAAAATAATTTGCACAAATCTTCGGTAATGGTTACATCAGGGGCGAATCAGGTGAGGTTATCAATACTGTAAATTTTGTTTTATGTTCATTATTTTGTTATATCCTAGAAAAGCTAACAGTTTCTGAAAAGATGAAGCATTAGCATTCCAGCTTCAATTTCAGTTCTTTATAACAATTTAAATTTAGCCTTTCTTATGCAAAATTTCATCTATAACCATTATGGTGTTGTTACTTCTCCTTCCTGAAGCTCAAAAAGCATTTTAAAGGATATGTCTGATAGGACTAGCATGTTTTTTGTTATTGTGGAGACAATAACTGTTGACTGGATTAGCATAACAGTTTATATTTTCTATGACTTGTTGCCCGTTAATTTTATGCTACTTCGATCTCTTTGAGTTTGAGCTTTCAACAGTGCCAATCTAAAAAATCCGTGGTAACTCATTCTATTCCAACAAATACAGGCATTTGTAAATCTAGTTCTTACTCTGTGTGATCCGGATGACTCCGTGGTTCTGTTTGCTCCATACTACTTCAATGCGTACATGTCCTTCCAGATGACTGGTGTTACCAATATAATAGTTGGTCCTGGTAGCCCAGACACACTTCATCCTGATGCAGGTAAGAAGCTGCATGATCTTGTTGCTTTCTATGTTGTTTTTAAGGCTATTTATGAGAAATGTCTTGATTTTCAGATTGGTTGGAAAAAATATTATCTGAAACTAAACCAGCTCCAAAGCTTGTAACTGTTGTAAATCCAGGCAATCCAACTGGAACCTACATTCCAGAGCCCCTTTTAAAGGTTTTTCTGTCCTCCCCACCTTCTCTTCTAATATATCAACAGCTACTATGATTTTAGATGTGCTACATTTTTAATCTTTTTGTGTTGCCAATATGGCTGATTTGACATCAACAGAATTCCCAAAGAATATGTTGATTGACCATTATGCTATTCTTTTAAAAAAACTATAAAATTTCTGAGTCAGTATTTTCTCTTATTTGATCAGAGGATTTCAGATCTGTGCAAGAAGGCTGGCTCTTGGCTTATTGTTGATAATACATACGAGTAAGCCTTTTAAACTTGCTGTGCTAGTAGACTTTATCACATTATTTTCTTTAATTATGAAAAGAAAGAAAACAAAAACTTTTTGTTGTTCTGCTAACCTTTTAATTAGTTGGTTATAGGCATTTGATCAAGATAATTCCTAATTTTTTTACTAGTTTTTCTGTCATTTACCATTTAAAATCACTTTTTAATCTGTTTCACTTATATTGTAGTCAGCCTCTCTTGTACAAAATCCTTATGAGATCCTACCTGCAGTCTTCTTCTCTAACTATGACCACCTACGACAATTCTACTACAATTCTCTGAATCTTATCGACTGAGTTACAGGTTCATGTTTCAAAAATAGAGTATATAAACAGATTAATTTTGCGTGCAGGTATTTTATGTACGATGGTCTGAAACATTCTTGTATTGAGGGAGATCATATTGTTAATGTTTTCTCATTCTCAAAAGCATATGGAATGATGGGATGGCGGGTTGGATATGTAAGTAGTCCTTTTATAGTTTTGGTATTGATCAGTACTTTATGTTGTAGTATAGTATTCCATCGATTTTTGTTTTGTGCTGCCTAGTAGTTACACTTTCAGTTGCAAACTTCATAAAAGTAGTGTTGATAGATCAGCACTGCCTAGTCTGTCCTAATAGCTGATTATTGCAGATAGCGTACCCCTCTGAAGTAGAAAACTTTGCTGAACAACTTCTCAAAGTTCAAGACAACATTCCCATCTGTGCTTCAATATTATCACAGTATCTTGCCCTGTATTCACTGGAACTGGGTCCTCAGTGGGTTGTAGACCGGGTAAAAAGTCTTGACAAGAACAAAGAAATTGTTTTAGAAGCTCTCTCTCCCCTTGGAGAGGGTTCTGTTAAAGGAGGAGAGGGTGCCATATACCTCTGGGCGAAGCTCCCACATGCAAATGCCTACGATGATTTTGATGTTGTTCGCTGGCTCGCTAACAAGCATGGTGTTGCAGTAATCCCAGGAAAAGCATGTGGTTGTCCTGGCAATCTTAGAATTTCGTTTGGAGGCTTGACAGAGAATGATTGCAGAGCTGCTGCAGAAAGACTCAAGAAAGGCTTAGAAGAATTGGTTAGAGATGGACTGCGTCAGTAACTGAGATTAATCATAGAACATCCCCTTCCCAAGCAAACCAAGCCTCCATAGTGGAAAAACAAAAACACCAGTAGATATCAATAGAAAGAAATTTCACTTGCCAATGTAGCAAGTTTGCAACTGATGAATTTTGAATAAATGGAGGATTTACTTTCTACCCGGTCAAGTTGTGGGATTGCAAGTTTTAATTATTTTCATTCTGTTATATTTCAAAACATTGGCTTCAAATGCATGCATGCACTTTTTTCATAGAAATTTGTCTGATTGATCTAACTATCATTAAATCTGACCCAACAAGCAAGAATGACCCTTCTTGTTTTTTAAAGCTTTATGGAAATTTATTTTATCCATCCTTCACAAATAAGAGATTTACAGCAGAATGGTTGTGGTGGATTTGTGGTCTTAGAACTTATAACTTATAACTCCTCAATTGTCTTCCATTTTATCAGTCACCTATTTGTACACTTGAATGTGCTGTCTGTAATGGCTCTATCTTGAATCTTGATATATTATTTTCTTTTGTTGTTCTAACATATATACTACCCAGTTTATGAACACATTCATCGTAATATTAAGTTATACTATTCTTTAGATCTGACACACGATGTAGAAGCAAACAGTAGTAATTAAAATTTGACCGTAGAAACACTTCCGTTGTCCTCTGTCTCTCTTGTTTTATCGTGATTAATTACCACATTTTGCCATCCTCATTCGTTAACTTAATGCAACAACAAACAATTTGCACCATTAGTCATTGGTTGTTAGAACTGGTTGGTTGTTGTCGCTTCAATTTGGGAACTGTCAGTCCATACTTCAAGCAACCTCAACATTATATTCGCATCAAGCGTAACAACAGATAGATATAGCACTGATTATTTGATCCCATATCAAACATTACAATTCGTTTGGTGTGAAAACTAGCCTTTCACTTTCACTTTCAGCTAAGGTTCGCTACAATAGATCATACAAGAACGGGTATTATCGATTAAATAAGTTAAAAGTAAAGAAAATGAAAAGGAGTTGGTGGAAGGTGGCGGCGCTGGAATCGACAGTGATAGTGATAGTGGTTCAAAAATTGAGATGGAAATGCCAAGCTTGTTGGGTGGTGGTGGGTCCATTCCGTTACCAGCAGCCAACGCCAACCACTCCAAATCCGATCCTACCCTACCCTTCCCACACGGACACAGAGTAATGCTAACCTCACGATGAAAGAACGAACCCAGATGAAATGAAGAAGAAAACATCATTGTTGGTGTGAAATGAAAAAAAATTAAAAATGAGTGGGAGGAGTTGGTTGAGTGGCATGCATGAGCACCTTAAATTGGCGAGAGAATACGCGGCGGAAGGACTCTACGACACCTCTATCATCTTCTTCGACGGCGCCGTTGCCCGAATCGGCGACCACCTCAACTCCGTCGACGACCCTTTAGTGAGAGCGAAATGGATGAACGTGAAGAAAGCGCTGTGCGATGAAACCCAAGTGGTGAAACAACTAGACGCGGAGAGAAGGGCGTTTAAGGAAACTCGATCACGATCACGATCACGATCACACTCCTCCTCCTCCTTTGTTTTTCAACCGTCGGATGAGTATCACATTCCCACTACCACTCCTCGCGCTTCCACCGTCGACGAACATGACCCCGACGTCTGGAGACCGCCAAGTCGAGATGCCAGAAGGCCCGCCATGCCCACTGCTCGAAAGGACGGAGCTTGGAGCCGAGGCTCTACCAGGCCCGCTGCTGGTGCCGTAAAGCCCAGCAGGGTTGGCTCTGGGCCCCGACCACCGACGGATGGAAAGAACGGCGGCGGCGGTGCTTCTGGAAAGGGTAGCAGGACAGGTGATGGTTCACGTTCAGTTGTAAGTAAGTTGTTAGTGTTGTGAATAGGAAGAATTTGGAGTTAATTAAATTGGAGATGAAATGAAATGAGATTCGATTGATTTGTGGATGGATTGCAGAATGAAGATGGGAAGAAGTCAAAAAAGTATGAGTATGAAGGTCCTGATCCTGAGCTGGCGGAAATGTTGGAAAGGGATGTGTTAGAAAGGTCTCCTGGTGTGAGATGGGACGATGTTGCAGGCCTCACTCAAGCAAAAAGCCTTCTAGAAGAAGCCCTTGTACTTCCCTTGTGGATTCCTGAATATTTCCAGGTTAGTTTACCTTTTTCCCTATCTACTCTATTATATATCAATTGTTTATATTTTAGTCTTTTATATTTATCAAAATTAAAAATGCTGCTTGAGTTTCCTTAGTCGGTCTAAGCAGAGGAAGAGGAGTTCAATGGAACGTTGTTTTGTGTTGTTGCAGGGAATAAGGAGACCTTGGAAAGGTGTACTCATGTTTGGCCCTCCAGGAACTGGGAAAACTCTTCTTGCTAAAGCAGTTGCCACTGAATGTGGTACCACTTTCTTTAACGTTTCTTCAGCTACTTTGGCATCTAAATGGCGTGGAGAGAGCGAGCGCATGGTACGGTGTTTGTTTGATCTTGCAAGAGCACATGCACCCAGTACCATTTTCATTGATGAAATCGATTCTCTATGCAATGCTAGGGGGTAAGCAATTCAACAATCTTCTTCTTGATGATCCATGTATTTGTGCTTCAGATTCACCCTTAGAAAAGGTTTAACTTTGATTGAGTTGAGCTGAGTTGTTTTCATCAGGTCTTCCGGGGAGCATGAATCATCCAGAAGGGTGAAGTCTGAACTTCTAGTTCAGGTTGATGGTGTAAACAATAGTTCCAAAAATGAAGATGGAACCCGTAAGATAGTAATGGTTTTGGCATCCACTAACTTTCCATGGGACATAGATGAGGCACTGAGGTTTCTATTTGCTTTACTTTATCCTTTTCTTTCCCCATAATTTGTAAATGATCATTGGCTATACATGCTTTTATTTTGATGGCAATGCAAATCAGGAGAAGGTTGGAAAAGCGTATATACATTCCTCTTCCAAATTTGGAGAGTCGTAAAGAGCTGATCCGTATCAATCTGAGGACTGTAGAGGCAAGTTAGAAGGCATATTATATTATATTACTCTGATGCTGTGTTGTTTATTATGTTTTAGTTATGGAATGAAATGAGAATAGATGGATTTGTTCGTTCTGAGTAAGGAAAATGAAAGTAGTGTTGTTGTGTGGCACCATGCAGGTGGCCACTGATGTGAACATAGAGGAAGTGGCCAAAAGGACAGAAGGGTACAGTGGAGATGACTTGACAAATGTGTGCCGTGATGCTTCCCTGAATGGTATGAGGCGTAAGATAGCAGGAAAAACGCGTGATGAGATCAAGAAGATGTCCAAGGATGAGATTTCCAAGGACCCTGTTGCAATGTGTGATTTTACAGAAGCTTTGAAGAAAGTTCAACCAAGTGTTTCTCAGGCTGACATTGAACGCCATCAAAAGTGGTTTTCTGAATTTGGATCAGCCTGAACACTTTTTTTTAACTACAAATCTTGCATTCTCTGGATGGATGATTTCGATTTTCAGGTTTAGAAGGGGTGCAACAAAATGTGCCATGAATTATCATTTTCTGATATGCCTCTAAAGAACTTCAACTTTGAGAACATTGTGTACTATACAAATATACTTTTACATGAAATACTTGAAAGCACCAGAATCAATCCTTGAAATTGATCTAGATTAGAATTGCAAGCATCAAAGTAATATCTATTATTCATACAAGTTGGTAGTTGTCTAAACTCCCTTTGCCAACAACAATCACTTATTCATATGTCAAGGTCACTCTCACAATCTCTTCTATCACTACTGAAATCATTTTAAGAAAAACTATCAAAAAGATATAACAATAACGAAATATAAGTTCAACTTCACTTAAGGAATTAAATCATTTTAAGACGATGAATATATGAGTCTTTATTCTTATATAATGTTCAAATTTCTTATTTTTACTAAGAAAGACATAACATCAACTAGTCAAGAGTTTCACCCCACATAAGGGAATAACACCATTGTTTCGGTTTGTGGGATTAAAGTCAACTCTTTTTCTTGATCCGTTCTTTTAACTTTAAGTCAGTTTTTTCTTTACTTCGCATAGGTCAACTGTCATACTTACGTTTAATGTAATCGTTTTTAGCATTATCCCTCATTTAAGGACAATCATTCTATTCTCTCAGCATTCCAAGTCGGTCTTGACATACTATACAATCACTTTAGACAATAACTTCATAGTTTTAATTCTTATATGAAAGTCATCTTTCTCATTTTTATTCAGTTAAAACTTAGATTTACTAATATTTTCTAACACTTTCAAATATGTAATATACAATTCAATTTTTTTTATGTAATATATGGTTCAATAATTTATTTTAGAAATGTATAAAAAGATATTATGTACACATAAGAGAGGCAAATATTATAAATAAGTTTTTTTGTGTATAGATTTAGTGAGGATAGAATGATAGACAGAAGAAGTGCAACTGTGACGTCCTTGAAATTTGATTAGTGAGTTGTGAGTGAAATTATATCTCTTGTCAATGTTGATCTAACTTTTCATCAAAGTAGAAGCATCACAATAATCTTCAGTCTTCAATAACGCAGAAACGTATTGTTCCGAACTGACATATCACGGTTTTGGGGTAAACAAACACAATAGTAGAGAAGCCAAACCCACGAAGCCCAACATTGATGTTTCAAATTTCATTTCAAGTACATTTTGGACCATTACACCTTTTCTTACTATGTTTTGTCATCCATATATAACTTATTCACTAAAATGCAATGCAATATCACCAACCTATAGTGCTATAGTTGAGTGGAACCCTTACTCATAAAGCTACCAAACTTAGGTAATTTTTCACAAAATTATGGAAATCTATAATTCTTTTATAGAAATACCGAAATAAAATGATCGATCAATTGTGTTTAAAAAAACAATTTTATTATAAAAAAACGTATTTGTGAAAAATATTTTAATTCATTTTTAAAATTAAAATGAAATGACTGCTTAGCCTATATAAATGTAATCCCAACTTTAGAAATAGCACAATAATGCCTTCACTTATACGAAGGGAAAAGTTTGGCCTGCAAATAGTTAGTTTAAAAATAATCTAAATTACAAACAAAATAATTAAAATAATATACTAATAGTTTAACGAATAACTGAACGTGAAGGAATCTTTTTAGAAAAAGAAAAAAGAAAA